AGAAAAATGAAATAATACTAAGCATAATACAATATTCTAGTTTTAATTATAATTAGGAAAAAGTTAGTTTTGAGAGTACTTTTCATAGGCATATAGAATGAAATCTTCTGAAAAATAATATCACATAAACTCATATTATTTTCTAATATATAACTATTTTATATAAAAATCAAATTCAATGATCTTAAAAGCGAAGGATAAACCTCAAAATTTACGAATATAATGAGTGGGAATATAATGCTTATCTATCATAAAACCATATGAAATATCAATTTTTGCTTTACGCCTAATTTTTGACGACAATTAGCAAAAATGTTAAATGTTAACACTCAGTCCATTTGAATATGAAAAATAAAATTGACTTTGATTAAATGTTTTTATTTATCATGCAATTCTTCTTGCGACCAAAGATTTGAATAAAAGTTCAAAAATAAGATAGCTTAAAAAATAATATACGGTAGTGTTTACTAATAGATGAATAGTATATAAATTCTATTAAAATGGATTTGATCCAAAAAAAATATATAAAATTTGATCATAAATAAAATCGTTTTAAATTACTTCTTCATTTAAATTATAACAATTATTTTTGGTTTTATATTTTTTTGGATCAAATCCATTTTAATAGAATTTATATACTATTCATCTATTAGTAAACACTACCGTATATTATTTTTTAAGCTATCTTATTTTTTGAACTTTTATTCAAATCTTTGGTCGCAAGAAGAATTGCATGATAAATAAAAACATTTAATCAAAGTCAATTTTATTTTTCATATTCAAATGGACTGAGTGTTAACATTTAACATTTTTTGCTAATTGTCGTCAAAAATTAGGCGTAAAGCAAAAATTGAATATTTCATATGGTTTTATGATAGATAAGCATTATATTCCCACTCATTATATTCGTAAATTTTGAGGTTTATCCTTCGCTTTTAAGATCATTGAATTTGATTTTTATATAAAATAGTTATATATTAGAAAATATTATGAGTTTATGTGATATTATTTTTCAGAAGATTTTGTGTTCTTCTTCAAAATTTTATTTTTTTATTAAAAAGAATCTTTACAAAATATACATTTACTTTAATTAATATTTAAAAACGTGCTCTATCAAAAGTTCCAAAAATTCAATATTTTAGCTTTTCTGAGGTGTCACTTTTGATGAATTTCTGTTTACAACGAAAAAACCAGAATTTTCGAAAAAGTGACACCAACTATTAAAGTTATTTTATTACTAGATTTATTTACAAATTATAAGATAATATCATTAACCGAATATATTTTTAATATAAATAAAAACTTTTTTTATACAAAAATTACAATCAATCGATAAATATTATAAAACATTTATTCCAAAAAGATTAAGTAATAGGTGGGATCCTGCATATAATATAATTTTATGTCATAAAGTTTACAAATTTTAGATGGACCACAGTGAGAATGTGAGTGGTTAATTTAAAGGTGGTCTGATAAAGATATCGAAGCTTACTCAACACAGCATGAAGCAGTTTCTAATACACAATCTTACTAGTGGTGTTTCGGTCGCCAGCGCTCTCATAGGGGTGCTGATTTCAAAAACCACTACTTCAAATTATTCAACAATACTCAATGCAGCATGAAGCAGCTACTACTGCTGTATCTTACTTGTAGTGTTTTGGTCGTTGGCTCTTGCACAGTCTCTCAGATTTTCAAATTTTTTTTTCAACACTATCTTGTTTCGCTCTCAGAAAGCTATCCTACAAAGACATCGAAGCTTACTCAACACAGCATGAAGCAGTTTCTAATCACAATCTTACTAGTGGTGTTTCGGTCGCCAGCGCTCTCATAGGGGTGCTGATTTCAAAACCACTACTTCAAATTATTCAACAATACTCAATGCAGCATGAAGCAGCTACTACTGCTGTATCTTACTTGTAGTGTTTTGGTCGTTGGCTCTTGCACAGTCTCTCAGATTTTCAAATTTTTTTTTCAACACTATCTTGTTTCGCTCTCAGAAAGCTATCCTACAAAGACATCGAAGCTTACTCAACACAGCATGAAGCAGTTTCTAATACACAATCTTACTAGTGGTGTTTCGGTCGCCAGCGCTCTCATAGGGGTGCTGATTTCAAAAACCACTACTTCAAATTATTCAACAATACTCAATGCAGCATGAAGCAGCTACTACTGCTGTATCTTACTGGTACTGTTCTTCGCTTCTTACTATCAACTCTAAAACTAGTTTGATGTATTATTTATTCAATATTAACCTTAATTATTTACAATTCTCACTTTTTTCATTTTTTAAATGAATCAATCCGTTCCTGCACCCTTGCTGATACAAAACAATATATTGATTTCATTCATTATCTTCAATATGGAGTTCAAGCAGAGATGCGTGCTAACTGCAATTATCGGAAAGATTCGCATTTGAATTCAGATGGAGTAACAATTATTAGACATTACTGTAGATGGGGAAGTTGTAGTGCTAACTTTACCTTTGAAATGAAATCTAATCAATACAGATTTGTAAATGGACATCATTTTCATAATCATGTTGGTGAACCACCGTCTTTTAAATATATAAATATATACATATATAAATATATACATATATACATATATACATATATAAATATATACATATATATAATATACATATATAAATATATACATATATAAATATATACATATATAAATATATACATATATAAATATATACATATATAAATATATACATATATAAATATATACATATATAAATATATACATATATAAATATATACATATATAAATATATACATATATAAATATATACATATATAAATATATACATATATAAATATATACATATATAAATATATACATATATAAATATATACATATATAAATATATACATATATAAATATATACATATATAAATATATACATATATAAATATACATATATAAATATATAATATATAAATATATACATATATAAATATATACATATATAAATATATACATATATAAATATATACATATATAAATATATACATATATAAATATATACATATATAAATATATACATATATAAATATATACATATATAAATATATACATATATAAATATATAAATATATACATATATAAATATATTACATATATAAATATATACATATATAAATATTACATATATAAATATATACATATATTGTAATAAACAGAAATTCATCAAAAGTAACAGCTCTCAATTTTTTGACATTTGTAAATTCTAAATTGAATGAGAAAAATGAAATAATACTAAGCCTAATACAATATTCTAGTTTTTTATAATTAGGAAAAAGTTAGTTTTGAGAGTACTTTTTCATAGGCATATAGAATGAAATCTTCTGAAAATAATATCACATAAACTCATAATATTTTCTAATATATAACTATTTTATATAAAAATCAAATTCAATGATCTTAAAAGCGAAGGATAAACCTCAAAATTTACGAATATAATGAGTGGGAATATAATGCTTATCTATCATAAAACCATATGAAATATTAATTTTTGCTTTACGCCTAATTTTTGACGACAATTAGCAAAAATGTTAAATGTTAACACTCAGTCCATTTGAATATGAAAAATAAAATTGACTTTGATTAAATGTTTTTATTTATCATGCAATTCTTCTTGCGACCAAAGATTTGAATAAAAGTTCAAAAAATAAGATAGCTTAAAAAATAATATACGGTAGTGTTTACTAATAGATGAATAGTATATAAATTCTATTAAAATGGATTTGATCCAAAAAAAATATATAAAATTTGATCATAAATAAAATCGTTTTAAATTACTTCTTCATTTAAATTATAACAATTATTTTTGGTTTTATATTTTTTCCCCATTATATTCTTGTGGAAAAGTGACAAATAGCAACTTTGACCCTCTCTCCTACCGTATATTATTTTTTAAGCTATCTTTTTTTTTTGAAATTTTATTCAAATCTTTGGTCGCAAGAAGAATTGCATGATAAATAAAAACATTTAATCAAAGTCAATTTTATTTTTCATATTCAAATGGACTGAGTGTTAACATTTAACATTTTTGCTAATTGTCGTCAAAAATTAGGCGTAAAGCAAAAATTGATATTTCATATGGTTTTATGATAGATAAGCATTATATTCCCACTCATTATATTCGTAAATTTTGAGGTTTATCCTTCGCTTTTAAGATCATTGAATTTGATTTTTATATAAAATAGTTATATATTAGAAAATATTATGAGTTTATGTGATATTATTTTTCAGAAGATTTTGTGTTCTTCTTCAAAATTTTATTTTTTTATTAAAAAGAATCTTTACAAAATATATATTTACTTTAATTAATATTTAAAAACGTGCTCTATCAAAAGTTCCAAAAATTCAATAGTTTAGCTTTTCTGAGGTGTCACTTTTGATGAATTTCTGTTTACAACAATACATATATAAATATATACATATATAAATATATACATATATAAATATATACATATATAAATATATACATATATAAATATATACATATATAAATATATACATATATAAATATATACATATAAATATATACATATATAATATATACATATATAAATATATACATATATAAATATATACATATATAAATATATACATATATAAATATATACATATATAAATATATACATATATAAATATATACATATATAAATATATACATATATAAATATATACATATATAAATATATACATATATAAATATATACATATATAAATATATACATATATAAATATATACATATATAAATATATACATATATAAATATATACATATATAAATATATACATATATAAATATATACATATATAAATATATACATATATAAATATATACATATATAAATATATACATATATAAAAAAAAAAAAAAAAAAAAAAAAAAAAAGGTATTGGGGCTTCCAGGCACTTCGTGCCCTCTAGCCCCGAAGATGTTTAGTATAAAATGAGGTTTTTATTCTGAAATGTTTGCTTTAATGTTTTTTACGGATGGAAATGAACTGGATATCGTCTGAGTCTTCGCTTGTTTCCTCCTCTTCTTCTTCTTCGTCCGAATTGTCTTCATCTTCACAATAACCAGATAAGAAGATGGTTATTTTGGTTTGTTCTGGTTTTTTGAGAAGCATTTTGGCTGTGCCAGTAAAAACGAACTCAAGATTTTGATAGAATTGTCTGCTTGAGTGAGTGAAATTGCATACTGTAAGTGGCATTGCAACTCGGTTTGCTTGAACAGATATTATTGAAACTTCTTCTCCATCTGGTATCCGTTCAGGAATATCTAAAGCGGCTGTTGTGATAATATGCATATTGTTTTCGTAATGCAATTTTGGATATATTTCGAATGGATGTGCAGCTACACCAGCTGGAGCAACAATGGAAAGATTCCAGGAGAAAGAACCGTGTTTGTTTTCATCTTCTTTCCAATTGTAAGTTAAAGGATAAGGGCGAAAGTCTTTGAGTGTTTCATATAGCTGTTCTCTTAAGTTTGGTTCACAGCAAAGAATGAATTCGTCAATTGCTTGAAGAGATATCATAGTTGAAACATAAGGCAAATTCGACAAGAAAAAGTCAACCATTACTGTCGGGTTTTGAACTTTGTTTTCTAATGTTTCGACTGGTTTTATTATACTTTTGAAATATCTATCATAGTCATTGTTGTCTGTTAAGGACAAATTGTTTGGATAATCTGCAATGAGTCTTCTATATCTTGCTTCTGTTGTTGAGAATGAGAAGACACCTTCTGGTTCTGTAGGAGTGTAAGTTTTTAGTTGAACTTTGAGCTTCAATTTGTGTCTGATTGGAGTCTGATTGGACTGAAACAACTTGAGCTTCTGTAGTTTGTTCGACTTCGGCAGTTTCTTTTGGTTGAATTTGAGCTTCAATTTGTGTCTGATTGGAGTCTGATTGGACTGAAACAACTTGAGCTTCTGTAGTTTGTTCGACTTCGGCAGTTTCTTTTGGTTGAATTTGAGCTTCAATTTGTGTCTGATTGGAGTCTGATTGGACTGAAACCTGTGTAACCTCTTTGGACATACTAGTAAAGTATGAAGATATAAGTGTTTGACCTTTAAAGAGCTTTTGTAAAGAATTGTCAGTCATGCTACTACTGTGGTCTTCCATTAGACAAAAATGAACTGTTTTTTCGGACTACTCATAGAAAAGTTTAAAATAAACCGTTTTCGTCAACGGTAACCCCCTCTATTTTTTTATTTTATTTAATAGTTACCGTTGGCAAACCGTTCCATCTCAAATATTGAATGAACTATAAACGTTTTTTGTTTTCTATATATACTTTTTTGTCCAACGGTAAAACTTTTTACACAACGGTTTTTGAGAGTCGTCGCCGTTGACTTTTTTGTAGAGCACTCAAAATAGTATAACTTTGTCCGGACAAGTAAGGGTCTATCGTCGCTACAGGAAAAGTTACAGGCGTTCCAAGGAAGTATACTTTGAGAAGCCTTTTCCCCTTATAGAATGAGATAGGACGGTTATTTTACAAAACTGACAACACTTTGACCGAGTAGTTTTTTGTGCTGAACAAAAAGTGTCATATAAACATCTGTCAAAAACCGCTTTTTAACTTCACTTAAAATGCCACGTAAGCTACGTAAGAATATACGTAAGAGGAAGAGAGCATTGAAACATCCAATAGTAAAACTGACACCACAACAACAGTTGCAACAACAAATGCTGAATGACCCCACTATGTTGCAACAAATGTCAAGCAATCCTATGCTTTTAAACCGAGTTGTTGGTGCACAGAGTGGAGGTTTAAGAGCGGCACTTTTAGCGAAAATGGCAGGCTATGGTGGAGCTGCAGACGGAACAGCCTATAACCCTCAAAGTCAAATGAATTTGAGTTCACTCAAAAATCAAATAACAGATGTCAAAAAGTCAAACATAGACATACAGAAGCAAATAAGTGAAAACGAAAAGAAACTAGAATATGACAGACACACAAAGAAACTCAATGAGTTAAACGTAGAGAAAAAGAAGAAAGAAGAACAACTGAAAGAACTAAGTACAGAGGAATATGCGAAAAAAGTGTCAGAAAAAGCAGCAGAAGTAGCAAAAATGGAACAAGATGTCATAAATTTGAAAAACCATACTACTCAATATAAAGTACTGAAAGATGAAGAGATAAAACAAAAAGCCCTGAAGACATATATGGATAGCGATGAGTATAAAAAAGAAGTTGAAGCAAATGTAAAGGCAGAAAAACTTTTACAGTTGCAAAACCAAACCGTACAGTATGAAAACTTAGCACAAGAAAGTAAAAATAACGACGCAGCCATGCAAAAGGCAATGAAAAGCGCAGAATATATAAAAGCTAACAATGACTGGTTAGATGCCCAAGCCAACGCTAAAGCAGCCCAACTTATAGGGTCAATAAGGACAAAAATACAAGCGGATGAAGACAGTTCAAATGAAGCTTTAACAAATGCTGACTTTAAGAACGCCTTCGAAGCTCTTCATAGTAAGGTGAAACAAGTGAACGACTTCTCATCTGGAAAGAAACTGAAGTCTGAAGGTTTCGACAAAGAGTTAAAAGAAGTAGCACAAAATATGACGAAAATAACAGATGCAGCAACGAGACAGGCAGTTCAAAGTGCCTATGACGCCGTTAGAGCAACTGTTGTGAAAGTCAAGAAAAAGAGTTACAACAGACCAAAACAGACCTAGTAAATGCTTTCTTAAAACGAAAAGTCAGGTAGGACATTACGCTGCAGATGGAACATATGTGCCAGCTGGTGGAACTTATATACCACCAAACCCTCCAAGAGAAGCACCTGCACCAGGACTACCTAAAACATTTACATCGTCACATGGACACAGACACAGGCATGACACCAACCCACAACAACCAGCACAACACCACACAACAACAACAACCAACACAACAACCAGCACACAACCAACAGTTCAAAACCCTGCACACAACAACCACAAACAGAGCAAGGACATAAAAGAAGTAGAGAACAAGGAAACCAAGAATTCTTAAAAATGCTTAAAGAAGAGTGTGGTTTCCCAGATACTGTTGACTTTAGTGACAGATATAAAGAAGCTATTGGAAAGTTCAAGTTCAACAAAAAAAAAACAATTCAAAAAAAAAGAAAAAAAACAAAAAAAAAAAATAAAAAAAGGATGTGGAAATACTGACCCGAACCTATTTAGCTTTATGGCTCAGCACCAAAACGGATATAATCTCAAACCTGGAAAATACAAGCTCGCTAAGGGATATGATTTAATAGCATATCATCAAATGACATGGATGAATTTACTCCGAGATATTTGATGTCAGAGCTAAATGACAATTCAACTTTCGTCATGAAACGCGTAAAAAATAGAGACGGAACGAAAGAACAAAAGCTTATGAATGCGGATGACGTAGATAGGGAAATTGTTGAAAACGGTCTCGGAATATATGAAATGCCAGCAGAGAGGTACAAGAAACTCCACAGGAAGAAATAGTTCAGATACAACCAGACATGGAAGAAATAGTTTCAGCAACAACAGCTAGAAGAGCCCTGAAGGAAACGAACAAGTCACTCCTTTGAAACTACATTCACAGAACTAGATGAAGATTTGGAACAGCCGAAAAATCTTGACCCTCAACAAGGTATGCGGAGAATATGAATATTCCAAGATTCTAAAAAAAAATTCGGCTGACATAGTAAAGAATATCGAAAAATGTTTGCCGACATACAAAAGACCCAGCACCAGATGAAAATATTCAGCATAGAATGGAAGAACTGAAAAAAAATGTACACAAATACAACAACCCTTTTTACTTACGAGCATTAACGTTCAATCTTCGATGAACATCGGTGAAGATAAAAGGTTAAATTTCAAGAAAACATATAGAATGAAACATGTGTTAAAGTCATTCAGAACCAACCAAGATGGAAACAAACCTACTTTTGTTTCTGCAGACGATGGAACTACAATGAATGGGGTCATAAAGCTAACCGGATAGGTGGTTCATAAACTTACAACCAACAATTCCAAGAAGTTGTAGACGCTAATGGAAGTGAATGGTGAAACCAGATATAGCTGGTATTTTCAGCGCGGCTTTAATGCCATTGAAAGATATGAAAGAATGCAGATATTTTGGACCAGTATGAAATGAACATGGCTGATGGAAATATAACACTGACGTTCTAGAACATTTATCTCAAAGAAACACACAGAACCATAGAGATGGTATATTTGGTAAGAGTTTAGAAAGAAAGTTAGGGAGGGAAGAAGGAGAGGAACCCATTGTACATGACCTTGCAAACGAAAGTTTACAAAATGTCATAAAAACTTACTTTGCAGACAATGAACGAGAAGGGATGAATATTTAAGAAAACTCAAATGGACAGTACCAAATGAAATGTTAGTATTGAAAAACATGTTCCAATTGGGACAAAACTAATTATGCACCTAATACTTGAAGGAGCGAAAAGACTCAAACGACAGCAAGACATAGTGACAATGATATGGAGCTATAATAGCCTTTGCGCCATCTACATAATATGATTTAAGAGTAATATCTTGTGTCACCAGGAAGCGCAATCACCAGAAGGCTTGTACAAAACAATAAATCATATTATATTTAGGGTGAAATGGGACGCTATTCACATTCCCTCTATGATGGGATTCAGCTCTGTTTTTCTCTAGAGACGCTTGTACACCTATGCCACTTCAGGAACTAGGATTGATCGTCAACACTATATTATCGACGTAAGAGCTTCATCATACAAACTATTGACAAACGTTACGTGTGTCGGTTATCGATATAGAGCTATACTTTGAGATCGGTTGCAGACCAGAACACAAAAGGCAACATCCAAGTGGACCTTATCGAAAAGTTGATAGGTCTACATACATAAGACTGAAACATAAATACATAATGATTCATGCAACATATCTTCATAGCACAGTGTCTTATCGAAAGGTGGCAAAAAAAGGAAGAGTATTAACAACACTTCGAGTCTCAGGAGAAAAGTGTTTAAATAGCTTTGGTTTCCACGATAGGGTTCTCATATTTGAACATATAAATCCAACATATAATCATATATTGGTTTTATTATCTCATATAGTATTAAGATGTAAACGCGCGACGTCAAAAAATATGCACGCC